GTAACGTAACGTAACGTAACGTAACGTAACGTAACGTAACGTAACGTAACGTAACAACTAATTCTTTATGCACGTAATTTATTCTCTTTCTGAAAATGGAGACGATAGTTGCAGAATTATTTATCTCTTCAAATTCTCTGCCATCACACATTTGTTGTCCTTTTTTCAGCATATAATTTCTTGCTGGTTGTCTGGTCATCCCACCACCTATGGTAAGCCTACTAAGGAACTTAAATGTCCAAATCTCTCCTGTTTCTGCTAATAACGGAATCAATGGCTACAGTTACAATTAAATTACAGCCAAACCATCCGATTCAGAGCCCTGTTTGCAGAGCATATTTAGAGCCCTTGTGCATGCAGCCTTCTTTATTCACTGCATTGGAGAAGCTAATCTTCTTGTGCAATAAATGCAGAAGCCCAGGACTTCCTCTGTATCGGCAAAGTCTCCATATGAAAACCAGGGCACATAGTAGATTTCTGGATAAGGGTATGACAAAAGGCAGCAGCAAGAAAAAAATCCACACTGGGCAAGTATCAGTCATTGCAAATCTGAATCCCTTCACTATTTACTGATGAATGTAGTTGAGAACTCATAATTCAGCATTTGTAAATGGGAAGGTTCTCTTGTTGTTGTTATTTTATTAGATTTATTATAGCCGCCTCACTCCAAAGGACTCTGCAGATTCATACCCAATCTTTTCATTACAGAGATGGCACATTCAAATTCGGTTTCCAAATTTCAGCAGTCCTTTCTTAGTAAACTCCATTATCTCATTGTAGGCAACATCCAATATACAATTTAAAACAATAAAAAACTACAAAGCATAACAGCCCAGACAAAAGAGCTGTAACAGTACAAAAACCATGACAGGGGCTCCACTAACATAATAACCCCAGGCCTGGGGGCAGAACCAGGTCTTGAGCCTTCTGGAACCCTAAGAGACCGGGTGCCATACAGATCTTGGGGGGGATGCTATTCCAGAGGGCAGGGGCAGCAACAGAGAAAGGACGGTTCCTTGGCTCCACAATGTGACACTGTTTAATTGAAGGGACCTGGAGTGCACCCACTCTGCCTGAACATACCAGGCAGGCAGAAATGATTGGAGACAGGCGATTCTGCAGACAACCAGGCCCTAGGTCATGAAGGGTTTTATAGATGATGACCAGCAGCTTAAATTGTACCTGGAAGCCAACTGGTAGCCAATACAGCTCATGTAGCAACAATGACATATGAGTGTAACAAGAAGTGCTTGCAGTGCTACATTTTACATATATACAGCTATAGCTTCCAGAGGGACTTCAAGGGCAGCCCATGCAGAATGCATTGCAATAGTCTAGTCACAAAGTGATTAGAGCGTGAGTGAGCATCTAAAAGACCTCCTGGTCAAGGAAAGGGCTCAACTGATGCACAAGATGAACCTGTGCAAAGGCCTCCTGGCCACAGCTGCCACTAGTAGCTGTGAATTCAGGAGGACCTCCAAGTTACACACCAGTTTTGAATGGGGAAGTGTAACCCCATCCAGCCCTATCTAAGACCAACAGTGAAAATGTCCCCATCCCAGGAGCCCAGACAGCCACAGCCACTCGGTCTTGTGAGGACTAAGCCAAAGTCTATTCCTCCCATCCAGACCCTTGAACAATTTATGCTTTTCTGGCTGCACATTTTATGAACAGTGCATCTGAGAGGAACAAAACTACTTGAAGATGGTCGGCTAATGCTACAGTTTCCTACCCAATCGTTT